ACTACTTACTACTTACTTACTACTACTTACTTACTTACTACTACGTTACTACGTACTACGTACTACTACTACTACTCTACTCTACTACTACTACTACTACTACTCTACTCTCTCTCTCTCTCTCTCTCTCTCTCTCTCTCTCTCTCTCTCTCTCTCTCTCTCTCTCTCTCTCCAGGTGTTAATTTCTAACATTTAGGGTCGTTTGGATCCTAGGGTATCCAAAACCGTGTTTTGTATACCGAGGGTATCTTGCATAAAAACATGTTTGGCACCTTTTTGGATACATAATCATGTTTTCTGTAACCGAGAAAGAGGGCCAAAACATGGGTATACAAAACCAAGAAAAACATTGAGTTATCCAAACCAATGTTTTGTGTAAGCATGAAAGAAGGAATACAACTTGTGACAATACTATTTTCATACACCAAAGTTGCCCACTTTGTTAAATACACTAATTATACCAAAACATCCACACAAATTTGAGAGAGAAACCACCTCAAATTTTTAAGTTTTAGAGAGAGAAAGTATCTTAAAATTTAAAGAGGCTACATCAAATTTTGGAGAGAGAAACCACTAAAAAATTTAGAGAGAGAAACTATCTCAAATTTTTTAGAGAGAGAAAGTATATCAAATTTCAAGTTTTAGATAGAAAAAGTATCTTAAAATTTTAAAGAGAAACTATATCACATTTTACAGAGAAACTACTCAAAAATTTAGAGAGAGAACCCTTCTCAAATACTTTAGAGAGAGAAATTATATCCAATTATAAATTTTAGATGAATAAAGTATCTCAAAATTTTAGAGAGATAATATGTATCAAATTCTAGAGAGAGAAACTACCTGAATTTTTTAGAGAGAAACTATTTCAAGAATTTTAGAAAGAAAAACAATATCCAATTTGAATTTTTGGAGTGAGAAAATATCTTAAAAATTTAGAGAGAACAACAAATCAAATTTTAGAGACAGAAACTATCTCAAAAATTTTAGAGAGAGAAACTATCTCAAAATTGTTAGAGGGAGAAAGTATTTCAAATTTTAAGTGTTAGATTGAGAAAGTATCTCAAAATTGAAGAGAAAGAAATTATATCAAATTTTACAAGGAGGAACTACACGAAATTTTTAGAGACAGAGAGACTATCTCAAATTTCAAGTTTTAGAGAGAAAATAACTCTTAAAATTTTAGAGAGAGAAACTATATCAAATTTTAGACAGAGAAATTACTTGAAATTTTTAGAGAGAGAAACTATCTAAAAATTTCAAGTTTTAGAAAGACGGTATTCTAAAATTGTAGAAATTGAAACTATATCAAATTTTAGATAAAGAAAATACCTAAATTTTTTTAGAGAGAGAAATACCTGAAAATTTTTAGTAAGAGAAACTATCTCAAAATTTCAAGTTTTAGAAAGAAAGTATTTTAAAATTTTAGAGATATAAACTACAACAAATTTTAGAGAGACTATCTAAAAAATTTCAGGGATAGAAATTATCTCAAGAAGAGATAAACTATTTTAAGTTTCCAAATTCTAGAGAGCGAAAGTATCTTAAAATTTTAGAGAGAGAAACTATCTCGACATTTTTAAAGAGAAATTATCTCAAATTTTACACTTTAGAGAGACAAAGTATCATAAAATTTTAGAGAGACACTATATCAATTTTAAAAAGAGAAACTGCTTAAAATTTTTTTAGAGAGTAACTATCTTAAAAATTTTTAGAGAGAGAAGTTATCTCAAATTTTAAGTTTTAGAGAGAGAAACAACCTGAAACTTTTTAAAGAGAGAACTATCTCAAATATTAGAGAGAAATTATATATCAAATTTCAAGTTTTAGAGATAAAGTATCTTAAAACTTTAGAGAGTGAAACTATATCAAGTTTTAGAGAGAGAAATTACCTAAAAAAATTAAAGAGAGAAACTACCTCAAAATTTTAGAGAAACTTTCTCAAATTTTAGTATCTTAAAACTTTAGACAGTGAAACTATATCAAGTTTTAGAGAGAGAAATTACCTAAAAAAATTAGAGAGAGAAACTACCTCAAAATTTTAGAGAAACTTTCTCAAATTTTAAGTTTTAGAGCAGGAAAGTACCTTAAAGTTTAGTGAGAGAAACTATATCAAATTTTAGAAAGAGAAACTATCTGAGATTTTTTGAGATAGAAACTATCTCAAAATTTTTAGAGAGACAAATTTTCAACTCTCTGATATTTCAAATTTTTAGTGAGAGAAACTAACTCAAAATATTTGGAGAGAAACTATATCAAATTTAAAGATTTAGATACTTTTTTCTCTAAAAATATTGAGATAGTTTCTCTCTCTATAAAATTTTTAGTTAGTTTATCTCTTTAAAATTTGGTATAGTTTCTCTATCTAAAATTTTGGTATAATTTTTTGTAACGGGAAATTTTTTTATATGTATTGTTGCATTCCAAATATGTGTAACGTAATTTTCACATGGAAATATTTTGCACGAAAGTGTTTCATACCTACCAAATGTGTCCTTAAATAGTGTAAACCCAAGTTACGCAAATAGATAACCCAAACGAGGGATTTGCATAATCTGGGTATTATCTACAAGCTATCCAAATAGTCATTTATCAATAACCAGGTTTTGGCATAACCAGGGTTTGCATAACCATGTTATGATCCACAACATGGTTTTGTACCCTAGGATCGAAACAAGCCCTTAATGCAATCACTCTCTCCTAGACACCTTTGTACAATACGTCGACTAGGCTTTACACCTTCATGGGCACCTAGATGCAGGTGGACAACTACGGGCAGGCAGGCCTCAGGTGCCCATGTGGGAACCCAGCACAACGCAACATAGGGCACCCACCTAGGCCGGTGTACTTTGGTGGCCTGCCTGGGCCACCTAGGTGGCCAGGCTGAATTTTTTAAGACAGGATTTAGCAGTAACAAAAAGTGTGACTATAGTTTCTCTATATGATTATACTGATCATATGACTTTACTAGTTTATGGAGAAAAAAACAAGCATTTTAGTTTTTTATGTACAAATTTTTATTCCACATTTATGATCCTTCATCAGAATATGTATCAGAATAAGACTCTAGGTAAACAAACTATTGTTTCGTCGACTGGTTCTGGAAGCAATCCTCAGGGAATAGATTGTAATTCTTGCATGTTTCCCATTCCTAGAAAGTTCAATTTCAGCATTGAATGGTCACCTTGGATACTTGAAATGGTTCATTACTAATTGTTTTAATTTATTAGAAATAGAACAGAAAAACTGCTAAGAATATAAAGTGCTAGACAGCACCAAAGAAAAATCAATGAGTTAATTACAGTACCAAGAAACAGTTATAATATAGTGACAAAATTATAGAAAAGTAGACATGACAAGGAATTTCACCTTGCAGGACAACCAAGCGAGAGCTTTCGTAAGATGGATATTAAAGCAGCTAAAACTGATGCTTGCCCATGCAGAGAATCCAGCTCAATTTTCAATTGATCACCCTGAAACACGAATTAGCCGGCTAAGAATGCAAGATAAAATTTAGGTAACCAATATTGCGCAAAATGCTTCCCAGTGGGAGATCCCTACATCTACAAAAAACACCTTTTCAATGGCAGCACTCTCCCTCAAAGCACGCAAGGTTGTTACACCATACGAAATCAAACCACCAACACAAGTAGGATCAACCTCAGCCAATGCACGAAATGTCAATGCAGCTTCAGCACGGACCTGTATGTAAAAGGCTACACATAATTTTCTAGTCCTGTATAATTTCAAAAGAGACGAGGCAATAGGCCACACCACACATTTGCATATCTCATTTGGTAACTGGATGAAACTATGATGACCATTTTTATGTCTTCGCATACAAAATAAATGGGAATGGAACTAATCAGCAATGAAGGAAAAAATGTTCAACACACAATTCCACAGGGACAGAGATATGTGAAACTCACCCAAAAAAAAACAAGAAAGAAAATGAAAACAAAAGAAGAGATATGTGAAACCCAAGGCTGATCTCTAAATGCCACTATCACAAAGTCATAATCTCTAAACTAATATAAACACAACACTACGATAAAATATAATATATGGAATGGCTTCATGGCACCCATCAAAAAACATTCAAGACTTTCTGAAACTTTTGACAAGAAGGGCCAATAGAGATTTCCAAGCCATGTAAATTGCAGTTCCCCATAAGCCTATTTTCCATATGTGTTTGCAGTCTCCACAATGGAGCAGGTCGTGCTCTGCCCTGAGCCTGTTTTCTAGAATAAGGGATAGGCGCTCCAAACTCAGCTGTTTCCAAAACAGGTAAATCAAAACATCTGGTGCTGATCCAGCTATTTAAAGAGACCAAGGGAACGTACACCATAATTAGTGTATGGTATATGGTATACCACAGGGGCATTGTATTTTCCCAATGATCCATGGTGAAGTTTAAACATAGTTCCCAATGATGGACATTCACAAAGGTATGGTGATCCCCACCATCTGTCATTCAGAATGGATGGTGAATGCCCCTGTGATGTACCATACCATATCACATAATTTTTATGGGAGATAAATGTTTCCCACTTGTGGCAATGCCACCCAACAACACAGACTATAAACCTGATTAGTTTTTTCCTGAAAGAACCAGTTTCTCTTTTCAAAAAACGGAACCAAGTCAAAGCTCCTATCAATAGTTGAAATAGTACTATTAGAGGCAAGGGCTCCAGCACTTTAAAATAGTACTATTAGAGGCAAGGGCTCCAGCACTTTTGACATGAAGATCTTTTCATCTACCTTCAAAATACAAGCCAAAGGAATGGAAGTCTAACAATCTATGTCAATAAGAAACACTTACAACCAGGGGCCACTTAGTTGTTGAACAGCATAAAACTACCCAAAGCTTCCATTAATGGCCCTCAAGAACATCAGTCCCATCAGCATGACACTGAAATTCCTTTTGTGTCAGGGACCATTTAGGCCCCACTCTCGACAACTATGCTGGCCGGATAGGCTTCAATGGACTCACGATATTTTACAGGTTATAATTTACAAGGCCTCCTCTAGTAGAAGGAGGTTCTTTAAATGTCATCAGGTTGGGCATTTGGGGACGAACCATTCCCTTGAGGGGTTAGATAATATCATGAAGGAGACCCGCAACATTTCTATGAATTTCTGATATGTGCCCAGGGAAGCAAATGGGCTAGGTAATACCACAGCTTGGGCTAGGAACCTCAGATCAGAGTTCTTTGAAGGCCTGGGACCACCCAAATCTTGATAACTACACTCACTTTTTTCCCTCTATCCTGTTCTCCCCTTACTTTCTATCCTTCCCCCTTTCATGCACGTGTACAGTCTATTCCTCCTGGAACAACTAGATATAATTGGTTAACTTTCAAAAGAAGATATTCCTTTTTTAAATGGTTCCAGCCCAAATTGAAAAGAATATGTGAGCAACAAATTGTTCTGAACATAAAGATATAGAGAAAACAACGATGTGTGACACTAAAGCTGAGCAATGACATTTCTTTATCACACTCTGCAGTCCATCCTTCTTTCCTGGTGTAATCCATGGATCCATAACCTCTTCAAAATACATTTCTAACAGACCCACAGGTAAGAATTTAATCTGACTTTAATTGCCTTTCAGTCATGAGATCAATAAGAATAGAGTACCACGGCAAAGCTTGATCCCATACAACATAAGAAATTCTCCTCAAAGAAAGGATTCAACATTTTAACACAAAAAAAACTCCATTCTCCGCATTAGTACTAAACAATTTATTTTTCTAAAGCATGCCCTTGGTAGATCATGATTTTGAACCTGTCACACCTCCTAACAGGTGTTGTACTGAGTCTGCGTTGCACATGTCCCAACCCACCAAAGTTCTTCCGAGTGTATTCATTTTGAATTCTATCCCTTCTTGTCATGCCACTCATCCATCTTAACATCATTATCTCAGCTGCACTCATCCTATGGGCATGTTGTTCCTTGACCGCCAAGCATTCCGCCCCATAAAGCACCGCTGGTCTCACAACTGTCCTATAGAACTTCCCTTTAACTTCATTGGTCTAAGAAGGGTGAGGACTTTAAACTTTCCCTTAATCCATCTCAAGCCCGGTTAAAGGAGGTGGGTTGTGTTAGGTAAGCAGCCAACGTAAAACTTCGCCAAAACTTTCCATAAATCCTGAATCTACATTATCTACTAAGAAAGTTACAAATATGGATAAAAATTCCTTAAGAGTGTTAGCCCTGTCAATAACTTGATCAACAGTCAAACACAATAAAAAAAACAGTTTAAAACTCTTAAAAATAACTCACAGTTAGCAAAGAAACATAATAATGCAAGTAATAATACTAATTCAAGTATATGTTATCCAATTTGAATCAAGAAGCCACCAAACCAAATAAGAGGGTGCAATTATAAGGCAACAGCTGAAAACTATTATAGATAATGTCAAAAAGCTCACAATTAATGAAGAGTGAGACAAGGCTGCAACAAGTGCGCTGTCAAGAACTTCCTTGGACTCCATGGGGACCTGCAGAAGAAATTCACACAATACAGCAATAAGCGAAACTAGTATCAGCCTAAAAGTTTAGATTTAGGCAAATCTCCTCTTCCATGTAATATAGTTAGTTCATGGATGCGAGGAGCTTGGTTGAGGGTTGGAGATCAACCCCTTGGAATCTCACTTTAGTTATCCCGAAGCAGTAGCCCGAGCCTAAGTGGAGCTATAAATTTTCTTTTTATAAAGAAATATTTTACACTAGACAGGAACTACCATTTATGCATCTGTGTGTTTTTTAGTGCAGACCACAAATGCCGTATCAATACCAAATCTAGACAATACATGAACCCTAAATGTCAATTGCATCATCGCACTATCAATTGAAACCAGCAACACAAGCTAGCCAGCTAATGAATAAAGGAAATGATTTGGAATGATTCCAAATCATCAAAAATCCCCATGAAATTCACGATTTGAATCTCTCCAAACTAAACCTCCCTGTGGATCCTATGAGTTGCCAACAGGGTTTCCTCACAAAGAAATGGCAAGAGTCACACTGCGAGAAGACGTCAACCACCAAACCCAAAAAGGAGCCACATAAAGTTACAATCAAGATTCATGAGACTGAAATTTCAGCACCTTTCGATAACCAAATTTGAAAATCTGCTGTTTAGTTTGGAAATTGTATTATTTCAATTGCAATTTGAAGAAAGGATACGTGATAACTTCTGGTGTTCAATTAGTTTATCTAAATTGCAATTGATAAATACTCAAAAAGTAAACTTTGTTCTTTATTCCAAATTACAAATTACAAAGAGAAATACCATATCAAGCTCTCTCTCTCTAAACTCAAATTTCTTTGATCCCCATTCTCCCAAGCTGACTCTAGAACTTGAATCACAACGGTTTTTAGCTTAACAAGTAATGTTCATCCATTTCTGGGGCTCAATGTTTCCAATGAGATTGGAACCAAATTGATCATCACATTGCCTGAGGCCTCATAGGAAGAAAAACAATGGACCATGTAGAGGTCTAGCCAAGAGAGAGAAAGCTTGAACTATGGGGATGATTGGTGGTTTGGATTCAGTGATAGACAGATTTGGGTTTGTGGGAAAAAGATTTGGGTAGGTGTCAGGCTAGTTTAAGATAGAAATGCAGGGAGCGGAGCTGGATGAGTCGGATATGAACCTCACCATCTTCCCACATTAACACTCATTCCTGACAGAAGTCATTCGAAATTTTTTACAAAACAAGTCGCACTTAATTTGCTGAGAATTACAATTGCAAGCCAATTTGCTTGAGAGAATTGTTTGTAGAGTGAAGTTCACTACTCGAGAGAATTTTTATCTAAAGGAAATCAAACAGTGTCCTGCGCTCATTTGGTGGTGATTAGTGATTACTTTTCAGATGTGACCATTGCAATTGGGAATTTGGGACAAGATATCAAACAGTGCCTCAGTCAAAGTTTATATATGGAACTCAATCCATGATATGCTTATCATAAACATGAGGCTGACAGTATTTGTCCTGAATCCATGATCATTAAGAAAATAATTAGGCAAAGTCCTTAAGCTAATGATTTCAGCAAATTAACATTAGGAAGAAAACCAGCCCATCAAAGGGACAAACTTAACAGATGTCTTGAGTACTTTAGCCCATTGTTTCAAGAATAATATAAATTAAAACCGGACCAACAATTTGAAATCTAATTCAAATGTAAAATATACAAACATAGTTGTCCAAGAAAATAAATCCAAAAAAATTGTGATCCCAGGGAAGTATTATATATTTACTCCCTCGGGGAAAACCCAATCAAGGAGTACTTTTAGGACACAAGACTTTGGGGATGTACCCTCTTCAACCCAGGGAAGTATTATACATTTACTCCCTTGGGGAAAACCCAATCAAGGAGTACTTTTAGGACACAAGAATTTGTGGATGTACCCTCTTCAACCCATGGACTAACCTCAATAAAGAAATTTTCCAAATTGCACTATCTATGTGCTTGAAGAAAATAATGTTCTAAGTTTGAATAGAGACCATCCAATTTTTGGAGGGTGTGATCTAATTGTGAGAGAACTCAAAATCCATTTTTTTTCTTTTGAAAGTAATCTAGTGATTCTTAGATGGTCCCCAAACTTTGAGATCAAAAAGTTGTTTCAACTATATCCTTTGCCCGAGGGAGTAAATTTATAGCACGACCCTGCAGGAGCATAACAGACATGCTCAATAAATAGTCTACTTAACAATCCATTCTAACTTTGTGAACAGGAACCTGCAACTTCTCCAAGCGAGGGAAACTGCCTCAAGCGGCCTTTCCAACAACCAATGGACATTCTCAGTCATTACAAGCAAATAAATATATATTTTATATAACTACATAAGAAATAGCATATAAAATGATTTCAGGTGACATAGACCATGTTGTATGCCACATCAGACTACATATCTGCTACTTCAGGTAAAAATCTACTTACAATGTCCTCATATATTACTAGCTGTAAAATGTTCATATATTACTAGCTGTAAATACAAATTCTCCTGGAAAATTAATACTTCTTGAAGAATACCAAATTAAGCGGCCAGCTAAATTTGCCAAATTGCAGGCCGTTTGCAAAAATGTGATTTAGAAAAAATGCTTTTTTATGCAGCATTCAAGGGTGGATATTTTAAAGCAGTTAGAATCACATCTTTTGATATCTCACCTCCCCCAAAGTTTCCAGAAGATAAGACAAAGTCCGCAAGGCAGCCACTTTCATTGAATCATTAGTGTTGGGGGACTCCAACTGTGAAGCATGACACAGGCTTTTGATTATGCTCAGTAATAATTAAAAAACAATGACCCACACTCCATGCAAATATATAATCTCAAATTGAAGGCGTAAGTAATTTTGGTACTTTGAATGGAAGCCACATTTATTCTTACTTCCGTTATCATACCAAAATCAGACCTTTTTTATTAACACGAACCAGATCAACACTTACCAAATTTCAAATATAAAGACCAAGTGCCTATGCAAACCTGTTTTCCCATAAACACTAAGAAGTTCCTCTGTGTTGGCTCTGTCATTTGTTCAGTAATACCAACCCGCATTATATAAATAACACAAGCCTGCAGAGAGAACTAACCATGATAAATCAAGTGGGTAAGCACAATTCCAATCTATCAGATCAATACTAGGCTTCCTTCATGAAAGGCTCTCTACTTATATGTCAAATATTCATCTGATATATAAATCTCATTTTCTTTTTTATTAGTTTATATACGTTCCATGTTGCATCAAGCACTGTCAAACGTCAATAGTTCTTGTAGCACAATAGGATCACCTAAGTAGTGGTTCATGAAATGAGTATCCCTCTATAATATTTGCCATCAGCTTTCATAACTCGAGCAGCAAAAATAGCAGAACCCCTACAGATCATATTTAAATGTACATAAAAAGCTAATAAAATTTAAAGAAACAAAGTTCGTGAGCAGGGAAAGAGGATAGGAGATCATAGGTAGGGGTGATCAAAACCAAGTACAGGGAAAGCCATACCTTAGTAATAAGAAATCTAAAAGATCATACTTGGCCCCCGTGATATCAAAGGAAGCAAGGCTCAAGAAGACAGATTTGGCTGCCTAAGCGGGCCCGGAAATCTAACGACCCAGACATAAGAAGGATAGGGGTTCCAAGCCCCAAAGTATGATGTTTGGCTGGTTGGATTGGATACCAAACATCTGATCGAAACCAAGTACAGGGGAAAGCCATACCTTAGTAATAAGAAAGCTAAAAGATCATAATTGGCCCTTGTGATATGAAAGGAAGCAAGGTTCAAGAAGATGGATTGGCTGCTAAGCGGGCCCTGAAATCTAAGCAACCCAGACAGAAAAGGGATAGGGGTTCCAAGCCCCAAAGTATGATGTTTGGTTGGATTGGATCCCAAACATTCAACCCCCCCCCCCCATCCCCACAAAAAAAAAAAAAGAAGTAATAGAACATTAAAGATAAAAAAAAAAAAAGTTGTCTCACAATTCTTTTGGCTTATTTGTTGTACACATGTACTATTTTAAACTAATACATACAGGAGTTTGAAACTTGAAATTGAATTAAGCCAGAACATGTACCATTTTAAACACATGTACTACTTTAAATTAATGCGGGATGCAGACTCAACGTAGATGGGAGTCTGATGCAAGCTGCAGCTCAATATGGTCCCTGAGGCAGGCGAATCAAATGCGATGTGGTCAATAAATTTTAAAAAATAGAAAAAACCTAAAAATTTAAGAATGCATAGAAAACAAAAAATGTGTGATTCATGTGATGGTATAAATTTTAATTTAGTAGTTTATCTAATACATTAGCCAACTAAGTCGCCTGATAGCCTAATAGTTAGATAAAGAGTAACATAGTTTGTCGTCTTACGTGTGATATGAACTAGTCCATTTCATCCTAGTAGTAACGATAATTAACAATTTAACCTAACATCCAAAGACCAAAAATACTTCACAATCACAAGTTCACGACCACAACGTCACAAACACAAGCTAAATATAACTTTCAAACTCCAAAGTCCAAAAGTTCATAACATATAAAATATGAAATATGATAAATACACTCAAGCTCTATGAGTCAATAAGCTAACTCTCAACTATCAAGCCTTAATCAAATAAGCCATGTAGTGATCCATCACATACATCTCCCCCATCCAAACCCAAGGTTGAACAGTTATCATCATTCGTACCATAACTCCTCCACATACACTTCCTCCTCCAAGTCCTCGATCTCTGGAACTGATGTTGATGTGGACCCAACTCTCCTCCTTTGTGATGCAGTGCCAGGCCAAGCTTTTTCTCCAGCCCCCACGACTTGCTTGACATCCAACTAAGTAGGTCCTCACCCTCAAACTCGCACATTGATGGTGGATCTACTATCCACTTACATGTGTCCTTGAATTCATCCAATACAGCTGGATCCAAATTCATACGCTTCAATAACCTCTTGCTTAGAACAATGGAAAATCCAATCCCCCCCTCCCCCCCCTCTTCTTCTTCTTGGTGGATTAAAATTTTGCCCCTGCTTGTGGGCGAAATTTCTACCACAAGCACGGGCGCATGAGCAGGCCATCACCCCTGATGCGATCCTGCCACATGCAATCGATGAGTCATATGTACGGGCGCATCACAAATTCCTGCACATGTGGATGAAGGCAATGGGCCAAGGAGACATAATGCATTATGCAACCGAATTTGATAACATAGCTACAAGTAAAATATGGCCATAATCAAATTAGACAGGGCTCCACATCAAGCAACATAACTCAAAGGACTTAAAACAACAAAACTCAAATCTAATGAACTCAAATTTGAAGTTCATAGCAAGAACATCTCTATTTCTATGACCACCACCAGATGTGCCTAAATCTGATGATGATGCCCAGCCATCATCAGTAGAGTCATCACCCTCATATTGGTCTTCTTTGATGTTCTCCTTCAAGTTTGCCTCCCCCTCATCATCCTCATATCTTATTCTCCTCAGTCTCTTGACCCTCTTCCACTTCCTTTTAGACTGATATCTGATGCCCCACACAAGGTCCAATGCAGTTCCAGCATCCTCATGTCCAGTTCATCCCCAACATCATCCTAGACCAGCCACTCGCTTGTTTCATTCATATCTTCCACAACAATGGGGTCAACTTCATTGTACTCCAAATGGCTCCTTCAAGTACTGGTTCATCCCTAGCATCATCCTCAACTAACCACTCGCTTCATCCATATCTTCCACAACAATGGGGTCAATTTCATTGGACGAATTATAACGAATGAAAATAAGGTCAATAAGTCACTTCAGCTCAAGCATGTTTCTTTTCCTTGAATGTAATTGTTGGACAATGCATGAATGCATTATTAGATATTCCTAACATAGAGAAATATAATACAAGTAAGGGTAATAGGAGACAAGGACAAATGGTGAAATGTATAATGAGTCAATTATGAAATTACCATCATGAACCTGTAACCAAATGAGCTACAGATCAAGTGCAAAATTTATTGAGCCATCCTCTTTAAGAGATTAGTGTTCCCTCCATTACTGGCCCACCATGATAATACATAACATAAAAATAAATAGAGACTACATCAATGAAATATTTAGAAGTCAAGTTACAACTAATAAATTAGAACTTAAATCCGGATCGAGCACCTCAAAAACCGATCCGGATCGGCAAATCGGCGATCTGGATTGGGAATCGGCTGAATCGTTTGGATTAAAGCTTAAAAAAAATCCGAAAAAATTATTAAAATTCATTATAAATGTTGTTTTTTAGGAATCCAATAAAAAATGAGGGTACTACATTATTAACTTTCATTTTTTTTATCAATTTGTGAATATTGAGATGTTCTTTCCCTATATAAATTTATTTTAACGATTAAATTTGCATCACATAAAAGAAAAATCATAGAATTATCATGAATAAAATATATAATTATATATGGACTATTATAAAGAGTAGACTAATCAATGAAAGAATGGCCATTAAAATCTCGTTTTGGCGAAAAATCCTAACCCGCTAAAAAAACCCAAACTATTACAGCCAAACTAACTATAATCCAAAATTATTACAACCTCACTAATTATAATATTATATACTGAAATTATAATTATTAGTTTACATTTTATAATTATTTTATTAGACAAATAATAACAAATTAAAAATATTTTATAATATTATCTAATTTAAAATGTATTATTGACAACTGTAAGAAAAATAGTACATTACATGATTTATAATGTAAAAATTCATAAATAAAATAAAAGATTTGGTTATCAATGTAAAAATTAATAAAATGCGTACAAATTTTGGAAATAACACTTCAATTTTTCAAAAATTTATTTTTTTAGGTTTCTATAATAAATTTAGTAAAAGAGATTGTTAGTAGAAAGATGGAGATTTCAAATAGAATAAACTTTTTATTTTTATTTTTTTTATACCTTTCATATTATTTACAAAAATAATTATACCACTATATACAACAAAAATTAACGGTTACATAAAAAATTAATTTTTTATTTTTCATTTTTTTGTCTTTTATATTATTTACAAAAATATTTATATTTATACCAACCACT